TAAGCTAAATATACAAAATGGACTTTTAGAGGATATATAGTACAGAAACCATGATTTAATTTAAGAAAAATGTATGAAAATTAACTTAAATTATTTCAGTGGATCAAGTCTGGCTCGGCACTAAAGATTACTAAATCATGCTGACGCTATTTTGCCCAGGACAACTTCAATGATCCGTCGTTTGCTAAAAAGTGAAAAACTCAAATAATTTGTTTTACAATATCAAGGTAGCTATCAACCAGAGTTAGGTTTTAAGAGATGCTCATATTTGATGTCTTCGATAGATTTTTTCTCTGCCAGCAATATTTTCAATAAGATTGCCTCTGATACCAGTGCTTAAAAAATAATATCAAGAAATGGTTTCAGATTTTCAAAAATAAGAAAGGGTAATTTGGTTAGCAAATATTTTCTCTCTTCTCCCTTACGAAGACAATTGGGAAAATGACAGAAAGACGATTACTAAATTTTAAAATTCTCAAATGATCACTTAAATTAGCAAAATTTCAGTTTAGTCATAGGTTATCAAATTATGATTTGTAAATTTTTTAAAATAACTATATTCCCTTTATCTGTTTTAAAAAATATATCAAACACCCTTATTGGTCGGCGAGTTGTCAAAGTTTCAATAACTGCAGGAGTTCAGGTGGGTTACTGTCACAGGAGCTCTGACAGCCAGCTGATAACTATTTTATTGGGGATTTTTATAATTTCAGTAATACAGCTAACAAGTTTTTTTAATGCTATTAACAAGTTTAGTATAACAGTAAACAATAGATTTTTTTATAAAATTCAAAAAGTAATATTTTTACAATTTCAAGAACACGATTAACAAGTTATGTAAAGTTATTAATAAGCTCGATATAGCAGTTACCATGTTTTCTCAAAAATTCAAAAGCAACATTTTTATGACTTCAATAACCAGGTTAACAAGTCATGTAATGATATTAACAACTATTATAATGTTATTAACAACTCTAACAAAAATTCATATAATGATTTAAACAACTCTCATAACCATAGTGATTGCTTAATAAATGAAATTTTTTTTTGATGTACAACCTTCATAAGGAGCTAATATTAAAAATATCAACTTTCATAGGAAAATATTGTTAATAACACTATGAGAGTTGTTAATATCTTTATATGATATCTTAACTGTGTTATTGAAGTTGTAAAAATGTCACTTTTTGAATTTTCTAGAAAACTTACTGTTAACTGCTATATTGCACTTATTAATAAAGTTATCAAACTTATTAACTGCATTACTAAAATTGTAAAAATAACATTTTTTGAATTTTTTTTAAAAAACCTGTTATTAACTATTATGTCGAATTTGTTAATAGTGTTAAATAACTTGTTAAACGTACTGCTGAAATTGTAAAATTAAAAAAAAAATTGTCAACCATCAGATAGTCATCGTCAACTGCCAGAGCTCTGATGATGCCGACCCATATGAATTTCGGAGGCCACCGCCAGCACTAGACCTCCAATGATTGGCTGGCCAGTGAGGATGCTTGGTATTTTTTTTTTTAAAAATAAAAGTTTTTACTTATTTAAATAATCATTTTCGTTAAGGGAAAAAAGTAGCAACTCCATTTATCCCTCCTCCTTCCTTCTGCATGTACTCAAACGACCCTTTCAACCCTGCCTTTCTCATCAAATGACTCTTCTATCCCTCACCTCGGCCTTTGCCCATCTAAACCCCCGAGGTCACGCCACGTGACCCAAAGATCCCCCGTGGTCCTCCCCCACGCGTGACGTGGCACAATCGAGCGGCGGAGCAGATGAAACAGTGCCCAATGGCATTTCCGTAAATTCACCACATCCCCAAGGGCATATCAAATCCGTTCGGATTGTTTTCCACTCTCCCTCTCTCTCTCTCTCTCTCTCTCTCTCACAATAATCTGCTCGCTTCTGATTTTCATTTTGGCGTGGTCGCTTTCGTTTGATCACAGACCACCATTTACACACTCACGCATTTTCAGTGTTCAGTACTCTTCAGGGCTAGTGGTTCCTCCTCGCTGAAACTGCCATGGGAAGAAGGAGAAAAGCGCTTTCCGTTGAAGAACAGGGTAAATTTTATAACATTAAACTGCCTGTGTTCATGTGTATTTTGAATCGTTGTGCATTTTTCAGGGTTTTAATCGTTCATTTGGGTTTACATTTTACAGAGAGGTCTATACAGAAAGGGAAAATGAAAGAAAAAGCTATCACAGTGGAAGATGACGACGGAGGTGACGAAGAAGAATCAGAAGATGGTAATGGATTAAAAATCGGCTCTTTCTCCAAATTTTTAATCCTAAACTCTAACTCGAGCTTCATTCCTCTTTCTCTTATTCTCTTTCCATCGTCCTCGGCTTTATTTGGCACTCCATAGTGTAAGCAGTGAGTCTTTTGATGTAATGTCAGTGGAAGTTCCCGTTTCTTTTTTACAGTGTTAAGAAAGTCGTCGTCATTATCTTTATTAATTTTAAAACGCCATTTTCAGTTCAAGTTTAATATTAAGAATTAGGAAATTCAGTAAAGCATTTTCCCCGAAATTCGAGAACTTAACATGCAATGATAATGACTTCTCTATTTCCTCGTTTGCGTCGGCTTAATGTGTATATCGGTGTAGTGATAAGCCCCGGAGATCGTACTGCACTTATTTTTTTATCATCTAATGACTTGCTTTTTCCTCACCTGGTGACGCAGAGGATGGTTTGAATAACTTTGAGGATGATGGATTTATCGTTGGTCTCGATGAAGAAGAGGAGGAAGACAATCCGCAAGAAACGCAAGAGACGAAAACAAAGAAGAAGCGGTTCATTCCCGTTTTTTACCCTGCAATGCAATTCTATACAAGTTTCTCAACACTGACTGCTCTTTGCTAACTATTTCAGAAAATCATCGAAATGCATTGTTCTTGATGATGATGATCTTGAGCTACTTCGTGAAAACCAAATCTTGGGCATCAATCGGGATAAATTGGTAAGCATTTGCATTTGCTTCTTTTTTATTTCTTGCTCTCTGTGTTTGCAACAATTGCTTCTCTATGATTCATTGATTCATTGATTCTGTCCTAGGACAACGGAATGTTTAAGAGGCTAAAAAAGGCTGGCATTGATAGTGAGAAGAGGGGACACTCTTCGGAATTCTTAAGTATATTTACCTGCCTTTCCCCCCGTTTTCAGCAGATGTCCAATGATGATCTATGATAGCATTTCACCCATTGTTTAACTTTCTTACTTGTGTTCATGGCGCTATTCTTTTGTTGACTAATCACAAAATGTTGGCTTTCCAGGATCACTTTTTGATGATAATGTTGAAGATGAGCAGCATGTCTCTGATAATGCAGATGATGACATGGCAGATTTCATAGTGGATGATGAGGTTGCCTATGGGGAGAAAGATGCGATCAGGTATATTATAATTGACATCAATGCATTTGAGTTTACTAATAATTTAAATATTTACTTATTCTCTTCATGGCATAACTCAGACAAAGGAAGTTTAGTGAACCCAGGCATTCCTCGTTACAGCTAAATGAGGTTCCGTCCAAGTCCATTGAGTCTGATGAGTGTTACAAGTTTGAGACACTGGCTCTGGCGGAAGTGAATTTAGCTGGAAAGCGTAACCCTTTAGATAATACGGACGTACCAGAGAGGATGCAGGTCCTGCTTTCAAATTTATTCGAGTTTCAATTTGTCAATTGTCACCACAATGTTGTGATTTTATTTTAATCAGCCAATAGCTTTTCAAACAGATATTTGAGGACATGGTGGGATCGATTCCAGCTGACACAAGGAGTATCGAAGAAGAAAGTTCTTGGATTCTTAGTCAACTTGATTCGAATCCATTGTTCATTGAGAAACAGGAAGATGGTGAATCATGGGGGCTTCATACTAGAATAAAGAGGGAAGATATCATGAGGTTCTTGGAATTGAATCATGCAAAGAAATATGACGTAAGTTGTAGTTTGGGTTTTTATTACATTTTTGGTTATATATGTAAACAGAGATCCTTAATTTTTATTTTCGTTCTTCACTTTATGTTTTAGATACCATTTATTGCGATGTACCGGAAGGAACAGTGCCTCAGTCTCCTGGAAGATCCAGAAGGGGCTGAAGCAGGAAGCATAGAGAATGATATTGAGAGAAAGTGTCAGCTGAAATGGCACAAGGTGATCATTATTAACCTAATGTGTTCATTATTGGATGTATGGCCTAAACATAGAGTTCACTTCAATGTCTCATTTATGGAAATTAGGTATTGTACATGAAGAATGGTAGATTGTGGAAATAACGCAGTAATTCATTGGAGAAATTAATGCCTATGAAATTGATGGGGAACTTCTTTTTTTGTTTTGTTTTGTTTTTTTGTTTTTTTTGGCTCGTGTAGGTACTCTGGATAATCAGGGAATTGGATAAAAAATGGTTGCTTCTTCAGAAGCGGAAGAACATTCTCATGACATCCTATAACAACCGTTTTCATGAAGGATGCCAAACGACTTTCTCTGATGAAAAATCCAGTTTCAACCAGCAGCTTTCAGGAACTATCACCACTATGCTCAAGTTGGTGGAATCAGATAGAGAGATTGATGATATTGAACTGAAGTTCAGTTTACATTTTTCTCCAGTTGAGGGATTCTTGGACGTCAGTTATAAAAGGCCTGTGAAGGAGTCTTATTATTCTAAATGCAGTATGGCAGGTCTATGGTCACTTGCAAGCAAATTTGGGAACACTGAGAAATTTCGGTTGCTAAGTACCCCTGAGAAAGTGGTAACCTTCTGCTTTTTATCTCGGGTATCTCTGTTTGTATGTGTGCGCGCTGTGGCAACTCACTGATTATTCCACAACAGGGAATGGAGAATCACGAGGATCCTGAGGAATCCCCAGAGGAATTAGCCTCGGCATACAAGTGTGCAACATTTGAAACTTCAGAATCTGTGCTAGAAGGCGCTAGGCACATGGTATGCTATCGGTTTTGTCATCTGCTTCTGCATTGCTCTGAAGTTAATATAGCTTACTTTGTTAATGGATAATTTTCTTTCTCTAGGCTGCAATGGAGATTAGCAGTGAGATGTCTTTGAGGAAATATATTCGCAGCATAGTTATGGATCATGCTCTTCTTTCAACCAGCCCTACAGTGAAAGGAAATATGACAATAGATACACATCATGAAGTAGCAGGTGTCAAGTGGCTACAGGACAAACCACTCACTAAGTTTAAGGATGCCCAGTGGCTTATCATACAAAATGCTGAAAAAGAGAAGCTTCTTGAAGTTAAAATAAGGTTGCCTGAGCATGTCCTATCTGAATTAACAAATGCTTGCAATGATGTTTATCTCAACCGCAGTGAACGAACGTCTGCTCAACTTTGGAACGAACAGCGAAAGTCAATTGTGCAGGACGCTATTTTAAATTTTCTTCTGCCATCTATGGAGAAGGAAGCACGAGAATTGTTGACTGCTAAGGCCAAAAACTGGTTAATAATGGATTATGGGAAGGAGTTATGGAACAGAGTCTCCGTGGTACCATATCTATGCAGGGGCAATGTCACTGCTCGAGAGAAGGGGGCTGCATCCAAAGTCATGGCTTGTTGTTGGGGAACTGGAAAGCCAGGTACCACATTTGTGATGTTGGACTCTAAAGGAGAATTGGTTGATGCGATCCATGCTAGTTCACTTACTCTGCGATCACAGAATATAAATGATCAGCAGCGGAGGAAAAATGATCAGCAACGACTTCTTAAGTTCCTAATGAATCATAAACCACAAGTAATTGTTATTGGAGCTAATGCATCATGTATACGCTTGAGAGATGACGTCAATGAGGTAAACTAATTAGTTAACTCCATTTTTGCTACAAAAAAAAAAAAAATTAGTTGACTCCATTTGGTTTACTTGATGTCCTAGATTTTTTCATTTAATGTATATTCTAAAATATACTTTTATCTTAAAATCGGGTAGTTTTTCATTTGAAATGGTAAAAATTTTCTTGCTATGCTTCTACCCATGAGATCCCTTGGATTCTATAGGCCCCTTGGATTCTGTTTGGAAATTGTTTTTCCTCGTGATCATTACAATGTTACATTCTTATAAACTTGGTAATTGAATGCTTCCCTAAGAAGCATAAACTTTGTGTATAATTTATGATGTGGCCAACCTATAAGCGTCAATCATGCATTGATAAATTATTTACATTAGAGACTTGATTTAGTGATTTTCATCTTGGACCTTCTCTTTCTAGTACTTTGAACATCAACTTTATAACTTGCCTCACTTTATTGGAGTGTCCGTTCCTTTGCCTGAGTAGAGGGCTCATTGTTTTCTGCTTCCAAAATACTAGCAATTCAAAGATCTGTAATTCCGCAACTTATGTTCAGGAAGCACTTTTAATTAATTTTGGCCTACTTGCCCTATAAAGTCATATTTGTTATAGGTACATACGAATCTGGTGCCTATGTTGTTACAATAAACCTATTGTTAGCAGTAACTAAAGTTTAAAGAAGCTGAATAGAGAAGAAAAAGATTCAATCCTTATTCCAATGGGGCATGCATACTGATATAGACATGAGATATGATGCTGATATGGACACATAATGCAGCAACGTTTGATGTATCTCCACTAATTTAAAATATAGCTAGTTCATATTGTGCCTAGAAAGCACTTGATGGTTGTTGAACCTGGTTCTATGTTCTTGAAATGTGTATGCTTCATGGGTTTCAATCTGTTGTTGATTCTTAACTGCCTCCAAAAGCTTTAATTTCTGTTTACAAAATTGTATGCGTTTCGCAAGTGCATTTTGTATCTTTTCTACTTATTTTCTGTAGAAAAATTTTACAAATATGTTAGCACCCTTTTCTCTTTCAATGACAACAGATGAAGTGTTCTTTGTGATTGCTATTCCTTATGTATGCATGTTCACGGTCAGTACACATCGTGATTCATGGAAATATTTTTTTTTTCCCAATCAGATTGTTTCAATGATGCGAGGGGAAAATCATGATGACGTCAGTTTGGAGATTAAAGGACTAACAACAGTTTTAGGGGATGAAAGCTTGCCTCGCCTTTATGAAGATTCAGAAATTTCTGAGGACCAGCTTCCCAGACAACATGGCAATTGATCTTTTCTTCTGCCTTCGTTTCTTTACTCTTTCCTCTTTAATATTTTTTTTAAATGAAATGTTCCTTTGATCATGGGTTTTGCTGTTCTTGAAATGATATAGGCATTGTGAAGAGGGCAGTGGCTCTTGGACGTTACTTTCTAAATCCATTGGCTATGGTTGCAACACTCTGTGGGGTCAAAAAGGAGATTTTATCATGGAAGTTGAACCCTTTGGAACAATTTCTGACAACTGATGAGAAGTTAATGATAATTGAATGGGTCATGGCTGATATCACCAACCAAGTAGGCGTGGATGTAAATTTGGTTATCAGCCACAATTGGCTTTCTGCTCCATTGCAATTTGTTTCTGGTCTTGGACCCAGATCAGCTGACGTTCTGTGTAGAGAATTATGTGGAGGTACAACTCCAGGAAATAGAAAGTATTTGAGTAAATGTGGTCTGAACTCGATGAGGATTTTCTGGAATGCAGTTGGCTTTTTAAAGGTGTCATGTGATGAACCAATCTTGGGTGATACTGTTGATAACATTCTGGATCGTACAAGAGTTCATCCAGAGTCTTATCATCTTGCTGAGGAATTCGCTAGAGCTGTATATAGACACTATAATCCAGAATCTGATGCTACACAACTGAATGCAATTGAAATTTTGCAGGATGAACCAAAACTGCTGCAAGATTTTGATGTGAATGATTATGCAGCTAGAATGGCAGTAGAAACAGGAGAGCATGTAAGAGAGACTCTCTATGATATAAAGGAAGAACTGCTTGATGGATTTAAAGATCCTCGGATACCTTATAAGGAACCTTCACTGGATGATGAGTTCTTAATGATGACTAGGGAAAGTGGGGATGTACCTTTTGAGGGAAAAAGAGTTCAGGCAACAGTTCGAAATGTGCAGTCAAAGCTAGCATTTTGCATACTTGACTCTGGATTGGCTGCAGTATTGCTTAAGGAAGATTTTTCTGATGAGACTGATGATATATATTTAACAGACAAATTGTGCGATGGTGATGTGCTTAATTGCAAGATCAAATTTGTTGACAAGACCAGATGCCGGGTGAATTTGACATGTAAAGCAAGTGAGTTGAAGAGTGATGGAGAACAAAGTTTCCATGACATGGATCCTTATTATTGTGAAGGAAAAAATTTACCGAGTCAGTTGGGTGAAGGCAAAAAGGAGGAGCTTGAAAATAAACATTTCAAGCCCAGGATGATTTGTCATCCCCAGTTTCAAAATATAACTGCTGATCAAGCAAAAGAGGTGCATTTTTTTGGTGTTTAATAGTTTACAGTTGAGTTTAGTTAGTTCTCTATGACTCTATGTTTTGCTTAATAGCTAAGGTCAGTTGTTTTCTATGTTAGAATGTTCTCAGGTTTTGATTGGCATCTTATTTATTTTTCTGTTTTGTAGTTCCTTGCAGACAAAGCCATTGGCCACTATATTTTTCACCCAAGCGGTAGTTGTCTATGGAAATTAACCTTGACTCTTAAAATTTTTGATGGACTTTGTGTACACAAAGACATTGTTGAGGGTGGAAAAACTTTAGATATGAAAAGCATGCTTGCACTTGGGAAGACATTAAAGATAGGAGAAGAAATATTTGAGGACATGGACAAGGTCAGCTTCCTTAATTCAGATGCTATGAAAGGCTTTATTTGTTCTGGGATTCCTTATATTATATATGCTGTTCTTTGTATCTTATGATAAATGAAGTTGCTGATCTCTTTCAAACTTGGTTCTCATGGATCACGCTTATTTCTGTTCTTTTTAGACGTGTTCTGGGAACCCAAAAAACAAGCTGCCAAGTGATGAATCACCCTTATAGAATTAAAATGAGACTAGCACATTAGACATACCATAAACAAACTTCAGTGACATGTTACTGAAGCATTCAATCTTATTAAAGATTCTAACACAACTTTACACATGCACGTGCTCCTACATCTCACTTTTCACTCTATTACAGTTCATCCTCTCTCTCACCAGACTATCATTGCAATATTGCATTGTTAAACTATTAGTTATCAGTTATTTATAGCTGTTTTGATATATATTATCTTGGTATGTACTTTGATATTAATTCATTGTTATTGATAACAAAACAGTGAAACAGGAGTCAAAACCAAATTGCAATCAGTAGTCCAATTTCAGAGTTTCTTATGGGTTATTTTAGTTTCCTAATTCTAGATTCAGTGGAGATCCGTTTGGTTTCCTAATTTTCTCAGTTTGGTGACAATGCCCTGGAAGGAAATCTATTTCTTTAGCGTGGTTCTTCACTAACACTTTTGAGTTTTTGCTTGACTTCTTTTACATCAGTTCATTATTTTCCCTTCCATGTTAATAGGTCATGGAACGCTTTGTCAATCCATTGGTGGTTAATCTGAAAGTGATATTGAATCACCAAAAATTTAAGGGCTCAAAAGCCGAGGTTGATAAGTTGTTAAAACTGGAGAAGGAAGAATATCCAAAAAGGATAGTGTATGGTTTTGCAATTTCATTTGAGCATCCTGGCACTTTCATCTTGTGTTACATTAGAAGTACAAATCTGCATCATGAGTTTATTGGTATTCATCCGAAAGGATTTAAATTTAGGAAGCAATTATTTGAGAACATTGAGCAGCTGTTGGGATACTTCCAGAATCATATCAATGATTTACCACCAAGAAAACCGATGGTAGATGGTTCATTGGCAAAGTCCTTGGATGGAGAACGCAGATTCAATGTATTTCAGAATAAGCACTCCATAGGTATATCCTGGATTGTCTTAATTTCTTTATTTAAGTTTTTTGATCTTACAGCTGTAGTTTTTGGGAACTAAATTTTTATTGACGAGTTGCTGTTCACTTTGCCAATATTAATTTTGCTCTTGACAAATGGATTCCACTCAGCAGTCAATGTTTCGCACCTAAATGAAATTCAGATGAAGCCATATCATACCATCCTGATTTGCTCACTGAAAATCCGGTGGAAAACAACTCAATTTGGTGGCTTTTGATTTTTTTTTTTTCCTGGCTTAACACCTCACCTTTTCTTGCCACCCTTAAACTTGTATTTCTTACGGTTCCCCATATGTAGCACATAAATGAGATGCTAATGAGACCAAATTGAGATCCGTTTTCCTCAGTCAAATGAGATGCTAATCAGAGCAGCTTGGTTTCGTGCCATTTAATGTTGATTTCAGCTTTGATTCATCATAATGAACATCACTTTATTTTCCGTTAATAGTAATTCTTAACACATTTGCTCCCATAGTTCTTTAGCTTGACACATGATTCGCATTTCTTGACTTGTTTATTTTAATGTCCAATAATCATATTTACTCTTGAAAATACGTAATCAGTTGGTCCCTTTTTAATTTCTTTGCAATCTACACAAGTTAGTCAATTTACAAAACTGTAATGTTTTTCTTTCAGTGGAGTCCCTGCAAATTTACAATTTAGTTCTTACGCCTCTTTGACTTTAATCCTTAGCTTTTCCTTTCATTTTAAAAGCTTTGGGTCATTTCTAGGTCACCATACGAGTCCTTATGCATATCAATCGTGTCGCATACAATTTTTTACATATGCGTCCACATAAAAAAAAAAAAAATTTGGGAATGTAATAGTAGATGCGCACCACTCTATGTACAATCTCATTAGTTTTAATGCAACTCATAAGTCACCTGAGGTTTAGCAGTTCCTGTCACTCAAGAAGTATGAGGCAATTGTTTCAAAGAAATATTTTTGCTCTTCGATAATGTTAGATGGGCATGTAAGTAGTTTTCGTCTCTGTAAGTTGTCCGTTCATAATGTCATTGTGGCTTCTTTGCTATCTTGAGTGAATGTTTAGTCATATCATTTTACATATTTGTATTTTTCACGTTCAGAATTAAGATTGAATTCATTTATTAATATGTGATGCAAAAATGTTTCTTGTATGTAACATTGCTTGCCTACTGATAATATTATAGATTGAACTACAATTGCAGTTTCCTTGGATGGAACAAAATCCTTTGAAAAACTGAACTGAAATGAGAATTTATAGTAGAATTCCTACTCAATGGCTTCTTCAACCTTTCCTTGTATCTATGAATCTACATTTTAATCTCATTTAATTTATGCCTCTCAGATGACAATGGGGGAGAAGGTCGGGGTCAGGGCCGGGGCCGGGGCCGTGGCCGTGGACGTGGCTTTGGCTGCGGACGCGGACGTGAAAACTCATGGGGTGATGGAAAACATGAATCTGAAGAAAACAATAGTTCATGGGGCAGTGCTCAAAATGACCACACTACCGGTGGCAATGGTTGGTCTCAATCTAATTCTTCTGGATGGGCCCATAATATTGACAAGAGTTGGGGTGAACAAGGTCCTACAGGTAAAGGCAATGTTTCTGAGCCCACTAATGATGCAGAAGGCAACTGGGGAAGGGGACAAGGACAAGGACAGGGAAGGGGAACTTGGAGTGGCGGTGGTGGATGGGGCAGTGCTGGAACTGAAACTGACAACACCAATAATGACAGTGCTTGGGCTAACAAAGGCAAGGGTTGGAATGAAAGTGTTGCTGGTGAAGGCAGTGACAGACGACCCACTTGGCAGCAGAGTAATTACGAGAGTGAGATGAATCCTACTGGTAACAATCCCAGTGATAGTGTTTGGGGACAAGGTCGAGGAGGGGACAGAGGAAGGGGAAGGGGAAGAAGAGGCAGAGGGGACCAAGGTGGCTGTGGACGCGGACGTGGACGTGAAGGTAATAATGACAACTATAGTGGTGGCAGATGGAGTAATACTGGAAATGATAACAGTGGTGGTGGCGGTACCTGGAATAATGATAATTCTTCAGGAAGGGGAAGGGGAAGAGGAAGGAGAGGTAGAGGGGGCCAAGGACGAGGACATGAAGGTGGTAATAATGACAGTTATAATGGTGGCGGATGGAGTTCAGATTGGGGAAGTAATAAAGGAAAGAGTTGGAGTGAGAGTATTCTTGGTGATGGCAGTGGTGGGGGAACTACTGAGTTTAATCATCGGAATAGCCAAGAACACAATGACAACAGCTCTGGTGGTGGTGGTGGTTGGGGTGGTTGGGGAGGTAGTAACAGAGGAAAGAGCTGGGGTAATGATGGTGTTGGAGAAGGAAATAACAATGAAAGTGGGCTGAATGCTACTGGTAACAATGAAGCTGTATCCTTTGGTGGTGGCTGGGGTAGTAACAAGGGAAGGAGTTGGGGTAATGATGGAGAAGGCAACAATGGTGGTGGTTGGGGTGGTAACAAAGGAAAGAGTTGGGGTAGTGATGGAGAAGGCAACAACAGTGGCGGCGTTGGGGTGGTAACAAAGGAAAGAGTTGGGGTAGTGATGGAGAAGGCAACAACAGTGGTGGCGGTTGGGGTGGTAGCGAAGGAAAGAGTTGGGGTAGTGATGGAGAAGGCAACAACAGTGGTGGCGGCTGGGGTGGTAACAAAGGAAAGAGTTGGGGTAGTGATGGAGAAGGCAACAACAGTGGTGGCGGCAGCGGCTGGGGTGGTAACAAAGGAAAGAGTCGGGGTAGTGATGCAGAAGGCAATAACAATAGTGGTGGTTTGGGAGGAGGCCAGGGACAGGGAAGAGGGAGAGAATGGAGCAAAGGTGATGGCTGGGGAGGTGGAGGTAATGATGAAAACAAAAGCTTTGGTGGACAATGGGCCAACACTGGAACCGATCACTCTGGCAGTCGTGACGGCAGTGGTTGGGCTAATTCTGGTGGTGGTGGTTGGGCTGGTGGTAGTTCTTCTGGTCGTGGAGGTTCTGATGGTGGCAATTGGGGCAGCAAGAAAGGAAACCCGGATGGAGGCTGGGTTTGATGGTTAGGGAGAAGGCATGGCTTGAATGGTGAACATGGAGCTAGGCTACGATATTTGGGTCATGCAAATACCACTGCAAATAGACATCCAATTCCACAAGGTATTTGACTATTTCTTTTATGACTATCTAACTGGAAACAACTTAATTTGCTGTAGAAATGATATTATCGTACATTTTGATGTTAATGATTCATCACTCTGATTTTCATATCGTCCAATTATATTTATATCCGCCCTTTTCTTTTCAAGATGTTGTCAACTTCAGGTTCGTTCATTATTTATTTTATTTTATTTCCTTTTGGGGGAAACGTATTGTCCCCGTGAATGCATACTCTTTAAAGTTGCCACTTCCATCCCCAAGCTTAGATTTTGAGGGATCCATGACATATAATTGTGAAGCATATGGCTTGCTTTCTGATTAAGAAATAATCGTGGAGATTAAAATAAGTTGCGCATTCGTATTTACGTAATTACGTCTTTCGATTCTGTTGTTCCGCCCATACCGTACATCTTTGAGATAGGCTTTTGCCTAATGGGCCTTACCAATCCTGATGACCCAATGAATCGGTGTTTCGCATATAGGCCCAATGAATGTGTGGGAGCATCATGTTTGCGACGCACGAAACACATTTGATGCCTTGACACTTGGAAGCATAATGGTCATACTCATATTTTATTGGTCATCATAGCATTCAATGTCTGCAAATATTTGATTCTTCTTATGAATGCAATTTTTTTCAAAAGAGTCAACTATAACTGTGGGCATAAAATTATAAAATTTAATGTTATAAATAATTTATACAGCAAATTCTGGATCTCGCCGCATATTGTCTTGAGATTTAAATGAAAACATGCATCAACTGAATAGCTGTGCATCATAAAAATGCATTAATATTTTTGGACAAGTCCTGATATGCTACTTCTGATTTTTATTTTGATCCTAAATATAAGACTCTTATTTACTTTGTCTCTCATTTTTTTTTTAAAGATAATCCTTTAATAATTAGTTTTAGATATCAAACTTGATTAGTAAAGATATTTTAGGAAAAATAATACTTATTCATTGTAAATAACTAACTTAATTAAGTTTCTTAATCTCTCCAATTAGTCAACTGGATTTTATAATTAGGTGCGGAAGTAGTATCATTTTACTTTTTAACGAATAGAATATTTTGTAATTTGGGATTAGTATAGTAAAAGGACAAATAAAACGGAAGACAGGGGATATAAAAATTGGTTCTTTTTAAAATTAATTAATAATTATGAAGTAGGAAAAACTAGCTGTTAACCCTACTCTATTTTTAACTGCGTTGTTGACAACCAAATGTATTATAAATCTATAATTGAGTTGACTCTGATAAAGAGTTAGTAAAGAGTTAACTCATAATATGCAAAATCATGAGTTTGAATTCTATTTCCGATGTGAGGATTTTGTTGATAAGTGATTTGTAAGTACTTCTATAAACATTCTGAGTAGATATGTCTTGATTGTGATGAACTTCCGAAGCCTAATTCAGCTAAAAATTTGCTTATTAAAAAAAAACTACATTTTAAATCAAACACTGAATAAAGTTAACTAAGATTGTGTAACTGAGCGGGGCCAATTTCTCGTACTTGCTCAGTGTACCCCCCTTTCGTCGAGTCTAAGTTTACCACCCTACCCACTAATGGACTATGAGGGGGCAGGCGAACGGAACCGACCGAGAACCCGAACCGCTTGACGGTTCCGACGTGCCCAGAGGCCAGAGGCGAATCCGTTCACGGTCCGTAGGACCAACACCATTCGAAGGTGGGTGGCCCGCCCCGCCTAGAACAGTCATGTTTGACTGCTAAAAATTTGCTTATTAAAAAAAAACTACATTTTAAATCAAACACTGAATAAAGTTAACTAAGATTGTGTAACTTGTAACTTTTTTTTTACCTTAAATGTTAATTATTTGGTTTTAATCTTAATGCACCCAAATATCTATTTCCCTTTCTCGCAAGAGACTTCTCACATTTTCCCCCTTTTAAAGCTGCATGGAATCTTATCATCCTAGTTTTTTGGTTTTTGGACAAACTTAAAAGTTAATAGGAGCCGATTTCTCACAATTTACGAGACAACATCCAAATTCAACATTAAAGTACTCTCTAGCCTTTATCCCTCGTCATGATATCCTCATGTAGCTTTCATAATATCATATGTTTTGCTAAAAATATTATTTTTTTTCACTTCATATTTCTAATTAACTGAGAGACTTCTTAAGAAGTATTGCAAGGGATTAATTATAATTTTTTCCATACATTAGGGACCAAAAAAGCTCCTTGACAAAAATTAAGGAGCATAACAGTTTCAGAAATTTTAAGAAAGATGCTAAGGAAGAAGGACTGAGAGATGACTGTAACATACTTAAATACAAATGCGTAGGTGATATAAGTTAAGTGGCTCTAATCAGATATATGCTCTGGTGAGCCGCAGAGACAGCATCATGCCCAAAGCAATGTGATCACCAAAAAGACGACAATGGCCAGCCCAAAACAAAATGTCACGATTGCCATGAACGCCTGCAGATTGTAAAAGAATTTGGATAGTTTAGATTGGACTGAGGAATTTTATCGATTAAACTCTGTATGATTTGCCCTATTATTTTAATACCCAAACAAATAATTTCTTTTCAATTTCACCGTTGCAGAAGTGTGAAAATGATACTATAATATTGATGGATGGTGGGATGAGATCAAGAAGCTAACTATCGAAATGGAAGGACCAACCCATTAATATATTCCATAAGCAATGTAACTAATTGATGGATGCTCGGTGTGACGCCCCAAAAGTTGGTTATCAAGGTAGAATAACCATGTCAGTTAAATAACCATAAAGCATCGCCCAATCCCATACTACTCAATTGAATACTTCCCACATCCCATACTATCTTCGTCTGAAGATCAAATATACTATAGGATTGAAACAAAATCATAAAACAAAGGACAGGGGGAAAAATAGTTCAGGAGATTACCTTTCCCTGAGACTCAAAGTGGAACTTGTCAGTAAACCATGATAACCCTCTGTCTACAAAAGGCGCCAATGCTAAAGCTCTGTATCAGAAAACACTCAATTGTATGAAATGGCGATGATTATACTCATCTCTTAAGTTTATGCGTAGCACAATTTACAAAAGGGCATTTTGCAATTATTCTCAGAAACACAGTCAACAGCCATCATCAAGATGTGCATCGAATTGGGAAGGACTAGACTTGGGTAAAGTTTCTTAAATGTTGATTATCAAATTCCCTAATAAAATCCTATCATGGCACTTCAGTGTACAATATTCATTCCATAAGAAATATCATCCACATGCCAAAATTTCATAACCTAACCTAACAGCAAACACTTAAAATGTGCACGCATGTTTTTTTTCCAATTAGAAGAACTTCCATGCTGCTACTCAAACAATCTAGATGATTGCTTCCATTCCAGTAAAAAACTTGAAAGGAAATTGCCATCAACAATAGGAGTTGTAACCTATGAAAAACAGTGACCAAAGTTTTTTAAAAAGCTCTAGACTGACTTAAAACCACAAGAGAGATAATTACGAAATTAGTTGTGTTGAAGATTTCAAGAAGGCAGCTCACCCTCCAGCTCTTACAAGTTTCGTCACTTGGCTACCAGCCCAGACCATGGCCATCACTTTGAGAAATCTAGACATGGGTAAAAAGTTATAGTCCATAATACTGACACACTTAAGAGGAGAAATCATATGAAATACGGTAATATAAATGTTCTTACCGCTCCACAGCTGCAAGATAACCCATCCTTTTAGGTGCTGGAACCACGTAAAGCCTAACAAACAACAAATTCCAAGTTAATATTGGATATAGCATTTTATCCACTGGCATTCAAGGGGTACAAGAATAACCCAATGCATGTTGCCTTAAAAACAAGACATAAATAAGAAGTCAGAAGAACTGAGATTCTTAATACCAACTGATTCGATGCATCAAGGTACGATATACACCTTAGCCTAGGACACTGGGATATCACCACAGAACATGGGCCTGGGCCATAGCCCCATATAAGGCTATTACAATATTAACCCAACTATATATCACATGTACATTTACTGTGTCTTATCAATATAATACAGATTCTTTTACCAAAAAAAAAAAAAGAAAAAAGAAATTCTTACATATGTCCACATACCACACAAAAAGAAATGTCGCGAGGTAGTATGCTGTGTTCAGTAGTCCATAGGAAAGGATGCCAGAAACTCCGTATCTCTTCAGCTTTGTCAGGATCCTGATAGATCAAACAAATGAGAGCTGGCCAAAACTATTTAAGCAAAGAAAACACTGTCAGAACAAGAAAGCTGCCTCCATCAGTAAGTTACACAGTTTCTTAATGTAAATGATGAGAAACAAGCATGGGAGAGGGAGGGGGGAGATCATAATTTACATACTTGATTTAGTAATGACAGATAAAGGTTTTGATTAGGGTATCATTAGAGCTTTCTTCCTGCATCCTCTATGACATAGAGGAAAAAATATACCTTCATTCCTCCCTTCCTTTGGCCTTCCCTGCAAATTTTTCCATCCCCAACACAAATGATGCATCTGCTTTTCTACTTATTATGCTTATTCCTTAATATTTTATTCATTATTCATCAACTTATTGCACGAAGTTGCTTGTCAAGAAATAATCACACCTTATCAACTTATTATGTAAGATACATAGAGCAGATAAGAAATTGTCTAGCCTCATTAAATTTCTAAAAGAGCAAAACAGGGGGGGTAATACATACTCATTGGCTGTCAGAGACTTCGCTTTCATATTATCTTCTCTTTCTGATGAACCTCAAAATACCCTGTGGTGGTTATGACTTAACACACTTGAAACTTCAAATCGAAACGAGGACCAGACACTACTGTAAATACACAGTCAAACATTTGAAGATAGCTCTATTCAACTCAGTATGTAGGTGAACAGCCTGCACTACAGATGAAAAACAAACTAGAAAGCAAATGAACGAACATATGCATGCGTTTCTACTACTCATTATTTAAGTTGACACCAAGGCGCTTTTTCATATGATAACACATCGCCTGCCCAATGTTCAAACTTCAAAACATTGCTAAATTTCACATTTTTCACAAAATAATAAAAACCAACAATTGGATTATGGATTTCCGTAGCTAGTGATCGATGGTGGCATGTGCAGTGTATGCATTAAGACATATGGCAACTTGTGCAATTTAACTAGATGCTCAAGT